AACCCAAAATTTTAGTGAATAAACTGCATTTTTGGTCACACTCATGTTTATTTAACATAAATGACTTTACTAAAAATGTAAAAAAAAAACCCCAAAAACCTAGACCCCAGCTGATCAAACAAGAGACACTCAATAAGCCAAGTTCAAGAATCTTCAATGAGTCACGTTCAAGTAACACAGGGAGTTCTAGTGGTACAATGCTTTCATGCCCATCTGCTAAAATAAAAAGGTTGGAGGTTCAAAGCCACCAGCAGCTCCATAGGAGAATGAGGCAGTCTGTAAAAATTTACAAACTTGGAAACCTAATGTCTTACTCTATCTTATAGGGTCACCATGAATCAGAATCAACAACAGTGGGATTGGGGGTTTTGTATTATTTTGGCAACACAGAATTGGAACACATTTTTCAGGTTTCTGTGTGCTGAAATGTACAAGAATGAACAAATGAGAAACAGAGGAAACCACTGAAGAGGCCCTCTTCTGAAACACTAAATGAAATAACCAAAAACTCATACAATCTATATGTTTTTCTTTTGACCTTGCCTGCCAAGAGTTTTAGAGCTAAATTTAGCACATGAAATAATCTTGAAAACAAGTTCCCATTTACTCCTTCCACTTCCTTTAATCAGGCACTGCTTTTTCATATCCCGAAATAGCTTCGTTTGCATTGCTTTAAAAAAAATATAAATAAATCACTATTCAAAAGATACATTGTGAAAACATTATAATGTAAAAGAAAATGTGAAGATGAAAGTTAAAATTCCTGGTATTTCCCTCTAAGCCTCTCATCAAAAAAACCAAAACCTAAAAAATTCCTGATGTCATCTAGTCAATTCCGACTCATAGACAATTGTTAATATTTTAGTGTTTCCTCTTCCACACACCCTTCAACTTCATTCTTCTAGATTCTGTACTGAAAGTGTTTTGTAAATAATGTTTTAAGTTTAACAATATGTCATGAAGATTTTCCCATTTGTGCAAATGACTTTTATACCAGCACTCTTAACAGTTATGTGTTGTTATATTTTATAGGAATATAGTAATTTATTTAATCAGTCTCTTGCTAGAATTGGGGGCATTGAAATTTTTCCAGGTCTAACTTTGTTCTTTATCATGTAGTTTTCTGATCATTTTCTTGAGTAAAGTCCTAAAATGAAAATGTCTGAATCAGGTGCAACCACTGTGGAAGG